TTTAAATTAGTATAATTTTCAGTCACTTTTCGAATTTTTCTGAAATTTCAATCAAGCACAGTTTCGCAGCAAATATTACTCAGCTGAAATATAAAAAATATAAAATTTTTATTTTCAAATTCAATTCCACAATTTTTTTTAGAAGTTGATGTCTGAACCTGTATTTGGGGAGGAATCGCGTTGTTTTGATTTGTATAAATCAAGCAACGCGTACAACTCTTCAGAGAAGCTCCCCAAATTCATACATTTCTTCAGAGGTGTCCTTCTAATTATAATGTTTGCAACGTATAACTGGGGCTGCTTTTATCCAATGAACGATAAATCAGGAGCAACCACAGTTCTGAAAGCGTGTGCAGAGTTTTTTCTAGCAAGAATGTTTCTTCCGCCGAAATCTTATTCATATATATTATTTTCAATCGCCTTTTTCGAAATATCAATATTTTTCTACGTACTTATATTCAGAACATCCCTCTTATTACATAAAAAAGTATCCTACGCTGTTCGTTTAATAATCGAAAGTTCATCACCGATATTTTTGCTTGTTACAGCAGGAAATTTCGAACAAGAAATGCATCTTTTGATATACGATAAACAAATCGATTACGCAGGAAGCATTTTTTGCGGATTAGCCTTATTAATGTTTTTATTCTTATATTGGTTTGATACACATTCATCATCAAATACTATTTACGTCCAGGATATGCCATGCCGTGGTCTTGATACATATCCATCGTTCTTTTCTGTCATTTACGTTTCATGCTCGATGCAATTACAACTTTTGTATCCAAAATACGATCGAAAAGCGTTTATCATTATGTCATCATTCATTATTTTGGGTGAAATATACCAATTTATCATATTAATTTCAAGCCCATACGTTTCTCAGCTTTTCACAGCATTTGTCTTCACATCTTCATTATACGGATTCTTATACAACGTTTTCTTCCTTATTTACAACATTTTTCAGTTGAATACGTCTACAGATCTCGTAATTGCGGCTTTCATGCTTCTTTTCATATCATACTTAAGCAGTTTGGCAATTACATCAAAAGTATGTTATGCAACTGAGAATTTCGATGCCTCAATTCTGTATAAAAGTAAAAATGACGCAATGGAAGAGCTTTCTGACCTAGATTTAGACGAACCAACCTATTTCTCATATGATCTGGCCAATTCAAAGAAAGCAATTCGTGTTTTACGAAGAATGATGTTTACATTGGAACCAAAAACGGCCGAATTTGCCAAATTCTGCATTTTGTACTCCGAAAACATAAAGGTCAAGCTGGAGTCTTACAGATGCCTCCTACTTATCCATAGACAAGACATGTTTAGCCACCAAGATTTGTTAGATTTGCCTTTAAAGAAAGTTCCTTTTTCTCACAGACAAATGTTGTATGACATGAAGAAAGAAGTCACTTTTCTCGACCAATACGATAAACTGGATGAAGGAACAATCAATGATTTGAAAAATGATTTGTATCAAATCAGAGTCGCTTTATTTGGCATTATAGATTCCATCTGTACAGACACACAAACACATTTGCGTGAGATTTTGCACAAATTTAACACCGAAAGACACAATTTCGAAGATCATGCGTTTTCAAAGCTTCTTCAGACACCAGATAGCTATCACATCTCAATGCTGATCTCCAAATATTACGAAGACATACTTCACAGAGCAGATTTAGCGATGAGATGGCGAGAATATGGAAATTCTTTAAATAATCCAAACTCAGAATTGCAAACGAAGGTTGAAAAGCTATCTAAGAGGCATTCCAAACTAGATACAACCAAAGCAGAAGGTCTTTATTCGATTTTGAAGACAATTTCTTCTTTATCTTTCTGGGGATTGATGACTACATTAATAATTATGGCCATTTCGTTATTAATTTTATTAATAACTAGCCTTTACCCAGATTCCATCAATCCAATCATGAATTCAGACTTTGTTAACTTATTTACTTTGTTATCTCTCATTTCTTTCAAACCGCAAGCAGAAATATCGAAGTTATTAGCATCTACAATGGCTTCGCAAGACTCTTATTACGAACCATTCAATGTTTCCATACGAAATTTGAAGATGGAAGATTTATTAAAGTACCAAACGTTCGAATTGATAAATTCCATTGATGTTACACTTCAAGACATCAGAAGAGATATAGCAGATAACGTTTTAGGCTACTGGGACCAAACTGCGATCAAAGATTTTTCAAATCTAACGATTAGATTCGAATACGCGAAGTTTGATGCCGGCCAAAACTTCGAGACATCTTTGTATGAAAATAACAGCCGAATTATCAACAATTTCCTTGAAAGATACAATGTTCTGACGTTCACAATCCCAATTTTACTGAACCAAATTCCTGACATTGTAAATTCAATGGAAAAAAGAAAAATTGTGACCTTTCAATTTTACATTATATCGTTGGCGGTTATTTTAATTGAAATTATAATATGTATGGTATTTTTAGTTTTCAGACGAAAGAAAGAGATGACTTATTATTGGGAAGCGTTATTATCCATAGATGTCAAGAAATTAACCCAAATGCGATCGTCATTGATGAATGGCGAGAACCTTGTACAGGAACATAACCTTCTTACATCGAGCACAGACTCAGACAACCTTCTTGGCAGTGACGAAATCGAAAGTTCTGGAAGTAATACGTCAAATTCCACAGAAACAACTCAAAGAACGAAATTCGACCCAATCAATGAAGTTGACGATGTCTCAAACATCAAGTTCTGCTTGGGATCCCCTCTTTCCAACGTAAATTTATCAGTCTACGCGTTCTTGGCTATTTTAGGGTCTTTAATCGTTTTTATCGGGTACCCTTACACAATTATCGAATTCCTCAGAGCAACAAGTTATTTATTAGACGATACAAGTGATCTTGTCAGTGCTACAACACACTGCATGCAATTAATAACTTTGTACGCTGCTTTGAATTTTACGGTTACCGATAACGATACAAAAAGTGACATGGAAACGATGATTACAACACAACAGATTCTTTTATCCAATTTTTCATTTGAAGTGTTGACAGACACTAAAGGAACTGATTAAATGTCCTACCTGACTTTTCGTTTTTAAGAAAGCATTTACTAGGTCTGTTTTGGTCTGTTGTAACTCTTTTTCTTGACTTTTCACAACAGTTGCTCTAACGGCGTCATAGGCACTTTGAACTGCCTGTCTCGTTGCTGCATCTGTTATTTTCGTCATATTTTTGGCTACTTCTTTTAACCCTTTGTCGAAACCTTCAGACTTCAGTTTCTTTCCAGATGAGAAGTCGTTCACTTGTTCACCTTACTATGAAGAGCTTCGAAGGCGTTCTTAAAGTCAGCATTTTTAAAGCTTCATTTGAACTGTCTTCATCGCCTTGTATTTTTGTCCTTATTGACCCTATGAGTTGGGCTGCTTTAGCGTTGGCTTGGGCATCTAACCAGTCAGTTAGCTTATATTTATTCTGCGCTTTTCATTGCCTTTTGCATGGCTGCGTCGTTATTTTTACTTTCTTGTGCTAAGTTTTCATACTGTACGGTTTGGTTTTGCAACTGTAAAAGTTTTTCTGCCTTTACATTTGCTTCAACTTCTTTTTTATACTCATCGCTATCCATATATGTCTTCAGGGCTTTTTGTTTTATCTCTTCATCTTTCAGTACTTTATATTGAGTAGTATGGTTTTTCAAATTTATAATCTTGTTCCATTTTTGCTACTTCTGCTGCTTTTCTGACACTTTTTTCGCATATTCCTCTGTACTTAGTTCTTTCAGTTGTTTCTTCTCTTCTTTTTCTCTACGTTTAACTCATTGAGTTTCTTTGTGTGTCTGTCATATTCTAGTTTCTTTTCGTTTTCACCTATTTGCTTCTGTATGTCTATGTTTGACTTTTTGACATCTGCTATTTGATTTTTGAGTGAACTCAAATTCATTTGACTTTGAGGGTTATATGCTGTTCCGTCTGCAGCTCACCATAGCCTGCCATTTTCGCTAAAAGTGCCGCTCTTAAACCTCCACTCTGTGCACCAATGACCGGTTTAAAAGCATAGGATTGCTTGACATTTGTTGCAACATAGTGGGGTCATTCAGCATTTGTTGTTGCAACTGTTGTTGTGGTGTCAGTTTTACTATTGGATGTTTCAATGCTCTCTTCCTCTTACGTATATTCTTACGTAGCTTACGTGGCATTTTAAGTGAAGTTAAAAAGCGGTTTTTGGCAGATGTTTTATTGTGACTTCTTCGTAAAGACTTTGTTGAGATTTCTTCGTAAATGAGTGTAAATGACCCAAAATATTAGGGTAGAAGGGTATATCTAACCTCTTTTCTAACCTCTTTTCTACCCTCTTGAATTTTCATGAATTTCTTCGTAAAGACTTTGTTAAGACTTCTTCGTAAAGACTTTGTTGTGAGACTTCTTCGTAAAGACTTTGTCAAGACTTCATCGTAAAGACTTTGTTGAGATTTCTTCGTAAATGACCCTAGTAGAGTATTTTTTGTGTAAATTTCATGAAAATTCAAGAGGGTAGAAAAGAGGTTAGAAAAGAGGTTAGATATACCCTTCTACCCTAAAATATATTTTTGGTGTAAATTTCATGAAAATTCAAGAGGGTAGAAAAGAGGTTAGAAAAGAGGTTAGATATACCCTTCTACCCTAAAATATATTTTTGGTGTAAATTTCATGAAAATTCAAGAGGGTAGAAAAGAGGTTAGAAAAGAGGTTAGATATACCCTTCTACCCTAAAATATATTTTTGGTGTAAATTTCATGAAAATTCTGAGTAAAATGACAGATGTTTATATGACACTTTCTCCGGTTTATAGGACCTCTCTCATATTCTAAACATCTTCGGGGCTAGAGGGCACGAAGTGCCTGGAAGCCCCACTACCTTTTTTTTTTTTTTTTTTTTTTTTTCAAGGAATAAATGTTCTATTTAATGCGTATATAAAATGCGATACGATAACTAAACTCTCAAATTTGAATCAAACTCGTCAAAATCTTATAAAATGCTGATTTATCTCATCAGTTTTGCCCGCTCAATCATGCTTCCTGGTGGGGTAAACTCAAGCACATTAGGAACATTCATTCCATCGTATATATTTTCCATTTCAAAAACGAATTTTGTCTCAGCAGCAGTTTCAATTTCTTACCAGAAGCAAATTTTATACGAAGCGGCATTTGGCTATGCAGATATTGAAAGTAAAACACAAGCCACCACAGAAACATACTATGAATGGGGAACTATTACAAAATTATTAGCTCATATTGCTATTTTTCAGCTCAAGGAACAAGGAAAACTCAGTTTAGAAGATGATGTTACCAAACATCTTGGAAATCATATACTAAAACGTATAAAAAGCAACAATAAGATTTATATCAAAAATTTATTAAACTACGACACAGGATACGACACTACTTATATTGATAACTACATAAAATACGGATCTACACTCGATGTAAGAGATTACATTCGTTGGAATGAACCAAAACAAATTTATGACACCGGAAAAAGGTACTCTGACACTCTCTTTGCAGCTATTATAGAAGCAATGATAGTAGAGAAAATCAGTGACATGAAATACTCAGATTATGTGGAGAAGAACATCTTCCAAAAGCTCGGAATGAACCACACATCAATTTCCCAATCCAGAATTGAATTTGACAAAAAATTGACAAGCGGTTA